GTCCATTGGGAGCCGGTGTCCAGTTCATCGGATCATATGCCCTTCGGACGGGGTCAAACGTCCAAGGTGCCCAATATACCTACCTCTATGTCCAATAGAGCCGGTGACCATTGCCACAACCGAAAAGGTGTATGTGTGGTTCGTACGCCTCTTCTTGGTTGGTTTGGAATCAGGGTTTTTGGTCAACTCCCTTAGGTGAACTACCGGTGGTTCACCAACCCGGTTACAGTCACAGATATCGGCTTTTTGTCCTCTCACTTTGGTGGGAAAACACCTCCGCCATGAGGAGGCAGTGAGTATGGCTTCCTCAGCAGAGGCTGTTTGAGACGCTTGGTCGTATGGGAGGATTGGGCGAGGTGCAAGGGCAGGGTGGCCAGCCATAACCTTAGACACTCTGCCAACCATACTGAAGATTTCCGAGGCAGATAAGCTCCATACACCAGCCTCCTGTTTGTCGTATTTCATAGTAACTGAGTTAACGTATTACGGTTTCTGTCATTGTGAAGGGCTTTGACTGGGACCATAAATATACAGGATATGTGGTTTAATGTACTACAACTCACTATTCTTTTCTTCCTTTTTTATTGCCTGTGACGAATTTATCCAGCCAGAAAACTCACCCTTTTTCTGTTTGTCTTTCGATGAATAAGCGTTGTCCATTGACCCTGTGGAAGTTTACATACTGCAATCTATTCTGTTTTCATTTTTTGGCCTTACTGGAACTTCGTTAGTAAAATCGATTCAGAGGTATTGTTTCTGAGATAACTGATTAACCTGTGTTGTATTTCATTTCATACATGTCTGGGTCTAGGTTGTTTCACAAACAGATCATAAAGGCATTTTTAACCGTAAAAAATCGGTGCCTACTTTGTTTTGTCCGTTTGCACAGTACTATCAGGCCACTATACGTGTTTTTAGGATTGAAAAGCTGTTGCCTTTGGGTGGCAAAAGCCGGATGCACTAGACGGTGTATAAAGCTGAGGGCCACTATCCAATCAGTTGAATCGTACATTCCTCCGATTTGGTTTTTACGTTCAAAGTGTCCAGTCAAACTGTTGATCGTGACCAGGGTGTCTTAAACCTAATCCTTATGTCCCTTGTAAGAATTTAGATAGGCGTTTTCTAGCTCTTTTGTAATGTGTTGTTTTGGATGAACTTATTTCAATTTTCATGGCACTGCTTATGATCTTCATGTGTATATGGTTGTTGGTTTCCGTTCTTGAGAGTTCAATAAATACCCACATACGAAATGCAATTTATTGGCCATAGAAGTTGTGTGCTGGCCGAACTGGAGCTTTAGACAGCTGTTCCGTCCTTTTCTGGACTCGTCTACAGTGCGTANCAGTGCGTACGTTTTGTGTCGAATATTGAACATTCATGTTGGGAGTCGAAATTTTGTACTCTTGAGTTAAACGGGCACACTGAGTTCCTGGTCCTAATTACTGTGTCCCACCTACCTGGTAATCCACCTCCTCCCATTCGCGCACTCGTTCTCTTTTTGCCTTGTCGCTATAATGAAGACGCCATCACCAGGGGAAATATAATGGAAGGACTTCTCTAGCAAATGTTTGCACATATGTCATTCACGATAGCTTTTCTTGGGGAATAAAATTAAGCCTTGAACGAAATAGGCTGTTCTCGAAGGGTGAGGGCGGCGGAGGGTATGCACATAATTATTCGGAGTTACAAATGTTATTCAGAAAGATTGAAATCTAATGTGCCGAGAAATACTTTAAATCCCTCCCTCCGGTTTTTCTCTCTCGCTACCTGTGGACCAAATAGAATAATGGTATTGGTGATTGCTATTTCGACTGTGCAGTTATGCTGCTATATTCACAGCTCATTTCCCCAGTTTTCACTCCACATTATTAACGAACTCATTGTAGCAAATAATCGGTCGTCCTCATTCGACTTCTTCCTGTCGGCGTAGCTGCGAGTTGCCTTTCTAAGTCCGATTCGTTACTTGGTTTACTTCGCGTCCCAACGGATACACGATGCAGAATCAACAATCAAGATTCGCGAGACATGGTTCTATAATGCATGAATAGACATATATAACGAAATACTAACGTACAACCAAAGTTTGCAAGTAAGCGAGTCCGAGACATAAGCGTATTGCGTGATTTGTTCACGCTGTCCTTCAGAGTCTTTCAAATGTGCGCGTCGAAATGCGTTTGTATGATCAGTGTTCGTGTTCGTTCTGAAATTTACATTTAATACATTTAATACGAAGTAGGAATTAAAGGAAGTGTCAAGATGTAAAATTATGGATAATTGTCGCAACGTTGTTGTGGATGGGGTGTGCTACATAATTAGAACGATAAACCACGTCAAGAGAACGAGGTGCAGCATTGTCGGCTAAATAGTCACACTACTGAAATGATGAACCCGTAGGCAAATCGTTTTAATAAATATTCCACGTTATTAACGTACACTCATCATCCCCTTGTAATTTTTTTCACTTATCGCTTTCGATCTGACTCGCTAGCCGAATACTGAGAGAATATTTTGAAACCGAGTTGTCACTTGC